GAATGTGTCCCTATTGAATTATATACCACAATTAAATATCAAGAACAGAATAGAATAGAATACTTTATTGGCCAAGTGTGATTGGACACATAATGAATTTGTCTCTGGTGCATAAGCCTGTACTAGCCCTTGATCATGAACTGATCACAGGAAATGTTTTGTGACATTTTGTGACATTGTATTATGTCATAAAATATGTTATGATAATTTTTATCATAAATTGTTCTATAAATTTTGTCAGATTTCAGTTCCACAGGAGTCATAGATCCTAGATTTTGGGTGCATTCTGTAAGGAAGCCCATTTGTGGTACCTTGTTTCAAAAGGTTTTACCCTATGGTGCACCGTTTCACCCAATTAAAAGTTACAGACACAAAGGTTTTAGTAGTATACAGATACAAGGCCCACGACTGTAATCAACCAGTAATCATTATATACAGTAGCTTGTGGTATATGTGTTTGTGCCTTCAAATTGGTACTCATGATGACGGCATGAACAAGTTCATACAGGTTTTTTGGCAACGCTTGTGGAAGTGATTTTCATTTTCTTCTTCCTAAGTTTGAGAGAGAATGGGTGATCGAAAGTTCATTCATTTATTTATTTATTTATTTATTTATTTATTTATTTTGATTTATATCCCGCCCTTCTCCCAACGGGACTCAGGGCGGCTCACAACATATTTAAAAACATAGACATATTTACAACCCCCCACCAGATAAAACCAGATTAAACCAATATTTAAAGTTGTGCAGTTAAAATTATTCTTAAAAAACCCGATTTAAAAACCCGATTTAAAATCCTCCCTAGGCCAGGCCCGCTTGCTGAAAAAGCCATGTCTTGAGGGCGCGGCGGAAAGTAAGGAGATCCGGAATCATCCGGATCTCGGGGGGTAGTTCGTTCCATGTAGGTGGTTTCATGTCTAAGGACTAAAATTCATAGTCTCCCAATTTCTACCATGATGTATTTAACTGTTATGCCAAACTGACTCTCTTGTGGTTTTTACAATTTAATTTTTTTATAAAGCTTGTTGTGGGGAGCGTATCTAGATATCCAGAGTCCACATACTGTATAGTGATATGCCCAAATTAAAATAATTTAACAATAAAATCCCTGCTCAGTTGCCTAGGAATACAGCAAGCAGATGGCTATTTTTTATCTTTATTCTATTTATCTCATAAAAAGTAGATTATAATCCAGCACTTTTTATGACCTTAACCACCATCATATAATCTTGCATGATGACCTGGGTGTTACAGTAGTAACACTTGTAGTGTTAATTTCTTGAATAGATGTTAGGCAAGAACAGATATTCCTCAGTTAATGACCCCTCATTCAGTGGTGCTGAACAAGCGGTAGTAACAACTGCTTCTTGGCAAACTTGCAGTATCCCATAATCATGTGCTTGCATTTCTAACCTTCCCTGCTGGCTTCCCATAAGCAAAGTCAGTGGGGAAGCTAGGAGGGAAGGTTGCAAGTAGCCTGGCTACTTACTACTTGCCATTGCTAAGCACTGAAGACAGGTGATTCTGTTGCTAAGCAATCACTTTGCTTAGCAACAGAAATTCTGGCCCTAATTATTGTTGTTAAGTGAGGACTACCTCTATGACATTATCAGAGATAATAATAAAAAAAGAGGTGTCAGCTCATCTCTTTTACATCTATAATTTTTCTCTTCCCCTCTTCTCTCATTTTTCAGCACCACCCAAGCTGGTTTCACAAGAACAGCTGATGAAACTAGCCAAGAAAATGGGCAAGAACTGGAAGGAGATTGGGATTTTGTTCCTGGGTATGGAAATTTCACGTCTGGAGCAATTTGAAGGGGAGCATTCTAAAAACATTGTCATGCAAATTTTCTCCATGCTGTGGCACTGGAGGAACCGTGAAAAGGACAAGGCCACGGCACACCACCTGTATAACATTCTCAACCAGGAAGAGGTAGAACTTGACTCCAGTGCCTATGCTTTTCTTTTAGAATAAAATACAACAGGAAGAAGTCCATCCAACTGTGCCGAAGATGAGCTGCACCAGCATTCAGTTTCTGTCTCATCGCCTATAGTTATTAAATACCAATGTTTCTATTCAATGGGATGCCGTGGTAGGGATTTTTTTATACTATCAGGAGAAACAAGGTGCTTCAGAACAAGTGTGGGTGCCTTCTTAATTAAGGTATACATTTTCCTCTAACTGTATGGCTACTGTGTGAGCCCAGAAAAAGATAGCCCTTCTTTAAGGAAATGACAAAGGGGCACAATGCAGGACCCCACCTGCTTAAAAGCATATTCTTAGCTTTGGATCTGAAGTGCTGCAAAGTACTAGTAATAACAGTAGGTTGGGGTGAGGGTTGTTGGTAATACTTTTCATATTGGACAAATTTTTAATTTCTTTCCCAAGTTTCCTTTCCCTTGTTCCATCACTGTTGCAGTAGCTCTTTTTCTGATGAACAAGCCTGCCATTTTTCTTTTCTCTTTATTTTGTCTCCCTTTTTATTTTCTCCATTCTGTGCTGAAGTTTTATTTGCTTTATATAAAATGACAAAGCAAATCTAATTCTCTGTCTTTTCCACTGCATCTGCGTCATGTGCTAGTCTTGTCTTGTTCTGACTTCTTCACTTGGATCGTCTCCCATTTTTTAAAAAAAACCCTTTTAAAAAGATAGATGAGAGAGAGAGAGAGAGAGAGAGAGTAATAGCAGTAACACTCATATACCGCTTCATAGTGCTTTATGTGTGTGAGAGAGAGACAGATACCATCAATCAATTCACACCTCATGCACTGACGGTATTATGAAGGGAATGAAACATTTTGAAACCAAGCTCGGAGAGAACCCAGTAATATTTACCTCTCTAATCACAGAGATTACATGTTCTCCTTTTAAATGCATGTCATTGGTTTCCCATCCTTTTCCTGTACAAACTCCCGAGACGGGGTCGAACACTGTTAAGCTGGTGCCATGCTGTTTGTTCGTTTGCAATTTAATACAAACCCTGATTTTATTGTGTCTGATTTTATTACCTTTTTTTGCTATGGTCATTAAATGAATCACATGGTCCTTAAGCAAATCCAGCTTCTCCCATTAACTTTGCTTGTGGGGAGCCCTCTAGGAATGTCATAAATGGCAATCATGTAACTCCTGGATGCTGCAAATCTAGCAAACAAATGCTACTTGTCAAGAACCCAAATTTTGATTGTGTCATTGTGGGGATGCTGCAGTGGTCACAAATGTAATGACTAGTCATAAGTCAGGTTTTCAGCGCTGTTGTAAGTGAATGGTTGTTAAATGGTTGTAAGTCAAGGGCTAGCTGTAGTCACTGCAACGCATGTTAACTCTGGACAAAAGTAAACTAGTTCTTTCAGTTTAAGGCTTAAACTTTTAGTTTAGATTGTAGTTTAAATAAATGTCCATGCCTTGTTGATCATTATTTTAAAATTCACTTTAATGGTTCATTGCATACATTATATTGGCTGTAGGGTTTCTTTCCTGTTTATTGTCTTTGCTTCTGTAAATTCTAGATCCATGTTTATCCTATGTTTGTTTTTACACTTTTTAAAAATAAAAAGGATCATTTAATATCTCAAGCAAAATAACATTTTTTAAAAAATAGAAATGATTTAATGCTGTTTGGAGGCAGAGACTCTACTGTTTCTAATGCTGCCATGTATAAAATGGTGAGGTTTTATAAAAGCAGTACATCTAAATACATAGGAAGGTAAGTAAAATGCGCACATATAAAACCAACCTCTGTAACACTTAGCTTTGCATTATTTTCATCTTTTCCTCCATTAAAAATACAAATAACTTTAGTAGGTAAAACTAGTAGAACTAGAACCCAGAAGACCGTGCGTTCTAATCAGGGACAAAGCCAGATGCATGTCCTTAAGCCAGTCAGTCCCTCTCAGCCCTAGGAAGAAGGCAAGAGCAAGCCACTTCCAAATAAATTGCCCCAAAACTGCAGGGACTTGTTAAGGAGTCAGCACTTACCCAAAGGGAGAGAAAAAGAGGGACAGAGAGAGAAGAATGTGGATTAAATTTTAATTAAATCTTACTTGAAAAGTAGAAGTTAGATTGCAAAAAAAAAAGTAGAACTGTCCATTTTTATCTTCTAAAGCAGGGCTTGTCCATGTCATTTTCTTGGTAAAAATACAGGAGTGATTTACCATTGCCTTCTCCTGTACAGTATGAATCTGAATTAATGCCTTTGCCATTGTCACTAAGTGATCATCTGCCTCCAACATCTTCCTATACTGTTGCTGGCTGCCAAATATAGGTGCCTGCTTGCTTTAGCTGGACAGCTGGGTGACCTTCACATCTTGGGCGAGCCTGCTGGGAGTATATACTCTTGGCATACATTCCCAATATTCTTCACTCGTTCCTCCCAGGAACAGCCCCTGGACCACGATGAAGCAGCACAGTAGAAATTAGGGGATGTACTACTGAGAAATCTAAAAGACCAGGTTAGGAGCAGATCACCACGGAGACTCTGTGGTCACTAAGACTCAACAACACATAATCATACCAGGATTTGATATATTCTTGCTCTGCTAACCCTTTACCACAGCATCAATCATTTTTCTTTCTCCAGCTGCTCCTCTTCAAGATGAGAACGGCTACTGAAACATATACCAGATACCCGTGAGAAAGCACTAAGTTGATTCAGACAAGAGGTGAAGCCAGAATGAATAATCACTAGGAAGTTACCATTTCCCGAATTGTGAATTGCAAAATTTCAAGCTACTAGCTGGCGGCAAACAGATTGAGTAGTCTGTAGTTATTTGCTGCTACTTAGTAATGTTGGATTTTGGAGTCCACATCTGATAGTCTTAGGCTTTCCTTGTTTTTTGCAGAAGGCAGTGAAGAAATTAAAGCATTACGTTTGCTTTAATTTTAGAACACACCCACAATTACAGAAATAGATAACAATGGGGTAGGGGAGGGAAGGTACTGTTACATCTTCACAACATTTGTAAAATGGTTTAGTAGTAGCAGCAACGACACCATGCTAGTGGCACTTACTCATGAGTCCCTGTGCATGGTTGGAGAAGTGTAGCTTCCAAGCCATTTCAACAGTGGTGTATGATGATTGGAAGTAAGGTGGTGTCTGCTTTTGAATCACATACATAACTGTTCCAATCTGTATTGTACAGTTAAGCACAACATGCACACACGATCTACAGATCTCTGCCAAGCCTCCCAATTTCATCAAGGAAGAAATCCAGATCATCTCTGGTGACTGCTGGATTGGTGACCACCTGGCGGAAAAAGTTCACCTTTTTGCCAAGTGGCTGATAGCCCACCATCATGGAACCTTTCTTCATCATCCGCTCTTTAATCAGTGGAGCTACCTAATCAAGGAAAAACAAATAAAACTTCTCAGAAACTGGTTGTACGTATATGATATAAGATATTCCCCACCACCACCCTTTTTATTTTCTTTTATTGACCCTGTAATCCCTTGCATCAGGGTGGAGTCGGGGCAACTGAATGAAGCTGAGCATTTACTGGCCGGGTGCCCTTCCTGATGCCTATACGGAGTTCACAGCAGATATTTTCTCTTTGTACCCAGAGAGAGAAATATCTGCCACCAGCTATGATCGAACTCACAGCCTCCTGATTGTGGGGTGAGAGCTCCACCTCTAGGCCACCATGTCGCTCATATTCCCCCCTCCTACCCTTAATAAAACTTTGTTCACAGACAGGTTCTAAAAATGGCTTTCAGATGTGGAATCAAACTAGGTACTTGTGTGTAATTTTTACCAATTTTTACCTACTTAGGCTTCCCTCTTGATGTACATGGTAAATGTTTATATGAAAATCCGTCAAAACCATATCTCAAAGGTTCATTTATTCTTCATGACTTTTCCCCAGATTACCCTTGAGCCAATAGACTCCCAAGTCAAAACTTCTTACTTGTGGCTCAGGCAACATGCACTCACACTAGCCTGATTCCCCCCAAAAAATATCATCTTTGGAATTAATGGTAAAAGATATCTCATAAAGTTTTGCATCAGAAAACCTGGCAAGGCATCACAACATCATTGGCCTCTTCACCAGGAAGCAGGCAGGTTTGATACGAGTCCTCCACAGTTTGTCAGCACTTAGCAAGCGTGTTCTGTACTTCTACACATTGACAACTCTGTTACAGGTTGGCTCTTTTAGCTGCTCTCTTCAGCTTTTTCACACGAGCATTGTGAAAACAGGTCAATAGGATGCTTTTAGAAATACAGCGTAGTCCTCCACTTACTACCACCATTGTGCCCAAAATTTATGTGGCTAGGTGAGATGGTTGTTAAGTGAGCTTTGCCCCATTTTAGACCTTTCTTGTGAGTTGTTAAGTGAATCACTGCAACTGTTAAGTTAATCACACGGCTGTTAAGTGAATCCGGCTTCCCCATTGACTTTGCTTGTCAGAAGGCTCGCAAAAGGGGATCACATTGACCCCAGGACATTGCAACGGTCATAAATATGAGTCCGTTGCCAAGCATCCAAATTCTGATCACGTGATCTTGGGGGTGCTGCAAGGGTTGTAAGTGTGAAATAGGGTCCTAAGTCACTTTTTTCCCAGTGCCCTTGTAACTTTGAACGGCCACTAAGCGAATGGCTATGTCAAGGACTACCTATATATCCTCAACTGACTGGAGTCAAATTGGATTTGGAATGCTAACCTCTCCTTTATGTTCCACACTACTCTCGTCCACTCCTCTTACCCCCAATTAAGCATGCTGTGGAAACAAGGCCAATGACCAATGGGTGTTGCTGCCTCCATCCAGATCCCCTTAGTCTATGTCCTCTTCCGACACTGGGAAACTGAGCATTACAGAAGCAGTTCCTAACCTTGGATTTCATGTGGGTTTAAGCTATAAATCCATCATAACAAGCCAGAATAGTCAAACAGACAGCTGTTAGAGATGATTGGACTTCTCACCCCATAACACCGATGGACATATGGCTGAGAACCACTGCATCATAACACAAATGGACCATGTTTTCCCCTTGTCTTTCTTTTCCGTGGGGCTCAAAGGCAGGAATTAGCCATTCCTATATCGAATGTCACTTTATGATTAGGCAAGCAATAGATGTGCAGATATCCATTCATCCTGAAAGAGCTTTCCTCATTTCTAATGAATGCTGGATCCAGAAACATGTGTGAACTCTGCTTTGTACTTATTTTACAACCCAGGAGCCTCCAGAGAGATTTTCCTGCTCTTATTTCCTATTTCAAAGATGCCAAAACTTACCTTCTCCAGTTTCACCCAGTAATCAGTGCAGCCTTCCTGCCCTTGCAGACTGGGAGGTACATACCAAAAACAGAGATTGATGAATTCTGGCTGAAAAAGAAAAAAAAAAGGAAAAGAAATAAGAAACTCTAAAAGAGAAGCCTGTGAAATGATATTTCTTCTCTGTAACCTTTGTCCAGTAGGAAGCTACTTTCTTATGGCAGTGATACACTGTCAGTAAAGAAACTGGAATACAGAACCACAACATGGTTTATTTGATTTTAATCTAGCCTGATGTATGAACCCAACCATTGTTTGTAATTCATAGTTTATGTCACCTATGTCAACTTATGATCTCCATGTGAATATCCTAGCTCTCTCCCCTCCCCCCTTTGAAGGACCCCAAAGCTGCTCAAGGTTGCATTACTGCAATTCTGCGGCAAACATTACTGCAATTACATGGCATAACTTTTTTGGAAAAAGCAAGAAAATTGATATATATCTGAAAGGCTAAAAATACTAGCGCCCATTTTTAAAATATCAATCCCCCACAAAAATGAAGTCAGAATTTCTGCCTCCACCCCTTCAGATGGTGCCACTACATTACTGCCCTTTTAATATTTGTTTTTTGTTAGAGAATTTTAATTTCTCTACTGGTGAAAATAAATCAGAAGCTCTCACAGTTGACTGCATTTAGCTGATTCAAATAAACTCTTTATATTCATATAAAATTATTTACAATACCATACATTCTTCTTTACAGCAACATAGCACAAATGAAAACTTCTTACAGCAGAGACAGACCAGAGACTGAAACTGAAACCCAGCTTCTAACTCAATAACCTTTTTGCACAGACTCAATAGCACTTTCTTCACATTGGCTGACTGAGTTACTACATGACTCTTCCTGCTCATGAATATTCCAACATTTTTTTAAAAAATGAGACCCAGGCAGCCCAAAAATGTTGCAACTCCCAATTTCTTGATTGAGAGACTGCCTGGTGTAGTGCTTAAAGGCACCAGGCTAGAAACTGGTAAACCGTGAGTTAGGCATGAAATTAGCTGGGTGTCCTTGCGCCAGTTACTCTCTCACACCCCTAAGAAGAAGGCAAAAGCAAAACCATTTCCAAAAATCATCCCAAGAAACTGCAGTCAGTCAGCGGGAATCAGCCGTGACTTGAAAGCACATATACAAATATGGGTTAGCGGTATGTGAAAACATGACCTCATGTTTCAAAAAGCAAAAAAGAAAACTGCTGACTTAATAAATAGATAGAACTGCAGTGTCAGATTAGGAATTGGTAGGAAAAATTTAGACGAGCGGTCTCCAACTTTTCCGGCTCTGCAGACTGGCAACGGCAGCAGCGGGGGCAGGGGAGGGGCGAAAGAGGGGATGGTTTCGCGGGCATGCCCGTCGCTTGCACAAATAGAGCTTTGCTCACTCACCTGCTGCTTCCGTGGCCTGGTTCCCAATGGGGATCATTGGGGACCCCTGATTTAGACCATTGAATCCAAATCTCCTTCACTTCAGGAATCCAAATTAAAGCATTTGTGACTAATGGATATCCAGCTTCTGTTTTTCAGTGCATGCAGAACCCACCTCTTCCCTTGTTAATCAGTGATCTGAGCACAAGGCGTGGTCTTATATGTGAGAACAGCCCATTATTTATTGTGGCGGAAATACTACTTTGGACGTGATAAAGTGTCCCCTTTTCCTAGCAGCTTCACCAGACTAGAAAGTGGAAGATTGTGAGTTCCAGTTCCACCAGAGCCAATTGGATGACCTTGGGCCAGTCACTCACTCAGTCTCAGCCCAACCTACCTCAGAGGATCGTTGCTAGGGGGAGAATAGGAGGAGGAAGGTGTGTTGGATACAATCACTGCCTTGAGTTATTTGTAAAAAATAATAAAGACTGGGTACAAGTAAATAAATAATGTCATATAATATGTCAGCAGGCCAGGTAGCTCATACCTCTATCACTAGCTGAAAGCCTTCTCTCTTCTTAATTTCACCAGCTAGATACCTAGGATAAAAAAGAAGAAAATGTCAGGGAAGACGCTTGAACCGCACCGCCAGTCACCAGGAATGGCAGAAGAACTGACCCCAAACTGGAGTCTTTTCATATACCTAGTGTAAGCAAAGGCCCTGTCCACTCTCTGCTCCAAGCCTTTGCTGCCATTGGCCTTCCACATCAGCCACAACTTAAAGCAATCTACTTTGCGTCCACACTGGATGGTTTGGTCTCCCCTGTCATAAGCTATGTTGTAGAACTTGTCCGTCTGGAAGAGGTAGGTAGCTTGGGCACAGTGGCATCTCTGCAGTAGTCCCTGGGAAGAAAGAGGCATCAAAATAGTTGTCTTTAATTAAAAAAAAATCCTTGTTTTTCCACATACAATGATATATTCTATTTGATGGTGCAAAATGCTCAAAGTGGGTAACACCAACATTTCAAAGAATTTCAAAAACAAACTGGGAAACGTGATAAGAATAGGGTGACCACAGACTCAAAGTCAGAAACCAGAGAGTTTAAAAGAGAGACATGCAACACAAGACCTTGGGGAGGTGGTTAAGCTACAATTGGTTCTAGGCAGTATGATCAATGTGTGGGATAAGAAGTTAAATCATATTTGGAGTGCGTTATTCATTGCAGTTTTCTGGTTCAAAGCAGGAACAGCATGGCAGGTAAAATACTTGCCAAAATTGGAAAGAGGGCAAACAGAAATAGGGATTATCCAGAGGTGAGCTTCTTTGATAAAGACATGCAAAATGGAAAGGCCACTCTTTTTTTGAATCCCAGCCAAAGCATTTCTAATCTTCATGAAGGAAAATTACAAGCTCCAAGATATCTTAATGGGCAGACAAACTCATATTAGAGTAGTTCACCTTCTCCTAATATGAAAATACAGGTAGTCCTCGGCTTACAACAGCTAATTTAGTGATCGTTTGAAGTTACAACAGCATTGAAAAAAGTGACATGACCATTTTTCACACTTACAACTGTTGCAGCATTCCCATGGTCACGTGATCAAAATTCGGACACTTGGCAATTGACTCATATTTATGACAGTTGGGGCCATGTGATCCCCTTTTGCAACTTTCTGACAAGCAAAGTCAATGGGGAAGCCAGATTCACTTAACAACTGCAGTGATTCACTTAGCAACAGTGGCAAGTAAAGTCGCAAAATGGGGCAAAACCCACTTAACAAATGTTTCACTTCGCAACATAAATGTTGGGTTCAATTGTGGTCGTAAGTCGAGGACTACCTGTAGACCTTGCCAGTTTGAGAGGGTCGATTCTGCATAAAGCAAGTAGCAGTAAGACTGTGGCTGGGTATAGTCCATAATCCTACAAAACTTTCTATTGGTCATTTATTTCAACACCTTTAGAAACCATAGCTTTGATTTCTAAAGTTTCTAAATATTATGACTCAAAATAGATTTAAATATTATTTTCATAGCAAAGAGGTGATAAAGCTTCAGAGATATACAGCAGTTGAACAATATTAGCCTTGACCAAGAATATCAAACTTCCATATTCTACACAATATGGAATTCCACACCTTCAGCTGCTAGCTGAAGAAGTACTGCAGAAATTAAGCAAAAGAAATAAACATAAATCCAGAATGAGTTAATGTACAAGAAGGTCTCACTTTGACTTTTGGACAGAGAGTTGGACTAAGTAGATTTGGGTTTCCTCTAACCATATTATCTGGAGGGAGAGATAACTTATACAATATCATGTTTCATGTCCAGGAAGAGAGAGAGGCGCTGAATACCTACAGAATTATCCTGGACCAAGAAGGCAGAACACTGAAGTCCAGCCATAAGCATTTTGTGGGGATTCCAAGCCACCGAATCAGCCCTGGATGGAAAATAGAAATGAGCATTTCATAATTGGATATACCTCCTATGCAAATAAATGCTAATAACCATATTTAGGAGACTGCTAAAAATTCAGTGGTGCACCTCTATATTTTGGATCTTTTGTATATGTGGATCGTCAGAGAAACACGTTAGTCTACAGTATGCAAAAATCAGAAGAAATCCAGTAGCACCTTTTCAACAAATAAAATGTATTAAAAGACATAAGTTTTTTGAGCTGCAGCTCAGGACATCAGATGCAAAAGAGTAGTTAAGTTGATACAATTTGTTAACCTGCTAAGGTGCTACCAGACTCCTTGCATTTAAATGGGATTCTTAACATGCACCATAGGGGTCAGACTCGGAAAAAGGGCCTTGAACCAAATTCTCCTATGGCATCTGTTATGTCCTGGGCCGGCAGGCGCAGGCTGCAGCGATTGGCCCGGGCAGACCACGTGGATGCCCGGGACCAGAAAGGCTGTTCCCAGCCTTGCGCACATGCAAAAGGCGGAAAATTCCCTTGCAACGATTGGCCAGCAACAAACGTTCTGTGCAGGGGACTATAAAAGGGAACCGCACCATTGTGTAAACGGTTCTGTTGGTGTTGTAATAAAGAAGGACTGTTTGGAACTAGTTGCTTCGTCTCAATGCCTCTTTCCCGAAAACAGAACAGCATCACTGCCCTTTAGCTCCCACAGACAAGTCTCAGCCGGTCAAGGAACACATAAATGCCACTATAATCATTGTATTGTTCAGCTAAAAACAATAATTCCCATGGTCTTAAGGACAAAGAAAGAAGGGAGGAGTGTTTCTTTAACTATGTGTTTCCCATTTTTTTCTGAACAATTGTCTTTTTCAGAAGGGAAATGATAATTAAACAGCAATGGTCGCTGATTTGTTGAATTTTTCTCAAGGAGAAATTTAACTTAAAAATGAAAAAAGTTGGAGCTGGAAGGTCTTACATGCTATTGGTTTCCCTATGTGCTAATCTAATAGAAAGATTTAAGGTGGATAAGAGGGTTTATGAATTATAAAAGGGTAAAACTGAATCTGACATAGAGTTTTCTACAAATGATGATCAAATTATTTCTAAGATGTACACACTTTTATTAAAAACAGAGACAGAGGATGAACAAGTCGAAAGTCAGAGTCTTGGTTGTATATCTTTTCACAACTTGTTTCTGTAAGAAATAGTATCTACCTTTCGATTCCATCCAGAAGATGCCGATGTCTTTGGGAGAGGAGAGCACTGCCACCCCAGGCTGCCTATAGGAGAATAAAAGAACCATATGAGTTGCTAAAAAGGAGTCCAGTCAAACCATGGAGATGGTGCTGCAATTGGAAATCGCAAATTAAAGATACAAGAAAATAATTCAGGTGGTAACAGAGTAGCTAAAGGGCTAGCTTTTAAAGGCTAAAAGAATTGCAAAGTAGTTTTCAAACAGAATGTGAAAATCTCAGCTTATGCAGAATGTTCACAAACATGAAGAAAATCACTTTTCTACAAATATGCCCGAATAATAAATCACAGTCCACTCAACAAGACTGCTGCCTGCTACACCTCTGTGTGACTGAATCACTCCTCAGATATTTTCTCACCAATCTCCATTGGGGGAAAAATATATCTGCTGGACAAGCTGGTAAGGCAGCACATATTTGCTCAGCATTAAGCAAATTATTTGTCCTCAGGGGACAGCACCTGGTACACTCCTTCAAGGCGAGAGATTTGAAACCACAATCCCAAAAGAAGGAAACCATGAGGTCCTTCTAAGACCAAAGATTGTACAGAGGAATAAATATTGACATCAGTAACTTTCCTTCAGCTTAATTGGCCTGACATCTGAAAGTAATCTCACACTGAATAGTTGATTTAAAGATACTAACATGCATGCAAAAGTTCTGTTATGTTATATGGACACTGGGAACAACTCCTGAGACCTACCTTAGGAAAGATTGGGAAAGTGATATTGGAGACTAAGTAGATCTAAAAAAAAACCCCTTAATGCAAATGTGTATCATCTTTTGGCTCCTGACCAAGACATCACAAGGGATCCCATTCCTCCTCTGGTGATTGACCCGTGTCTCCATTCCAAAACATCTCTAGAAGGTCCTTACCTCCACAGATTGTACTTACATCCACATGGAACCAAAGTTTGTGTCTTGTGCACACCTCCGCAATCTCAGGCAGGGGGTCAAAAGCTCCCAGGACAGTGGTGCCACAGGTGGCATTGACAAAGAAAGGGAGTGCTTTCTGGAAGAGAAGATCAGAACTTTGATTGGCATAAGTATGGTCCTCTACAACAGAACCACACACATGTGGTCACCTCTGCCTGAATTTTCCTTCCTTCGTGTGTAGGTCTCTGGTAAAAGAAGCATAAGATATTGCATTAGGACGCCATTTCTTCATTTGCTGCAACCTCAGACAAAGAAGCAGAGTTTGCAAAGCCCCTACGTCCATTTCATGTTTCTTTTAGCTCTGGCTAAAAGGATCACTGGCTTGGATATGGGGAGAAAAAGCATCCTTTTACATAGTTTAGTGGGAGCAAAGAGAAAATTGTAACCTCCTTCAAAACCCTCCACAACCAACATACCTCTGATTTGGCCTGGTTGATCTTTTTCTCTAGATCAGCAGGGATCATTTTCCCTCTGAGGAAGAAAAGGTTGAAATGATTGAGCCATGAAAGTCCTTTCAGCAGGTCCTTCTTGCTTAAACCACTCTGATGTCAAGCCATTATGAAGCTATGTGTTTCACTTTGATTATATATAGAAGGAGCTTTAACTTTAAACCTACTTCTACTGCCAATTAGATCAGAGGAAAGGGTTCCATGTTAGCCTTGTGTGATGCATTCGGATTTTTTTTACCACAGGAAGATTTTTCCTCTTGAGGAAACCACTTATAATAAGATCCATTTCATGCACACTCAAATGATATGATCTAGAAGAAACTCCTCCATATGAACCTCTATTTATGCAGACCAATAATGATAAAGAATGAGAACTGTTGTCAGATCCAAGACTAGCTACAGATCTGCTTAGGTGCTCTTACTTAGATTCCTTTGTTTTATCATATGTTAAAAGGTCATATACAAAGTGATATTTCAATCTTAGTTCTTATTATGGTCCTTACTAATTGTGCCACCAGTAAGAAACAACAGCTTATGGAGAAAACAACCTCTACAATCTTAAGGGCTAGAAATCCAAACTTACTTAAAATAAATATTCTTAGCAGGTTCAATTCCACAGACATTACCAAGTTCTAAATCTCCACAATGTGGAGACATGAAGCTAATAACCCAGAGTTCAGATTGTAATTTTTTAGACCATAATCATTGGAGGGACAGAGGGTTTCTAAAACCTGGGGGGGGGGGGGGCAGAGACAATTGAACAATGGGATAAGCAATCTATAATGGTTCTGAAACCTGTTGTTGGAGATGGTTTCGTCCAGATTAAATCGTCCATTCATGACATCAAGATGGAACCTTTGGTCTTCTCTAACCTTATAAGGATTTCCAGTTATTAACACTCACTTTTTATCCACTGCTACAAGGTAAACATTGTCTGTGCCGATGCCCAAAAAAGCTGCTCCCTTTTGGATGGAGTAATGGCACTAGAAAGCAGAAAAAGAAGATCAGCAGAATCAATTTAAGACTTCCCCTAAGAAAAGCCTCCTCATCTGTTCTGAGTCCTGGGAAGCCATTTAGTAATTAAACCATTTAGAAAACTGCTACCCAAAGAAATATCAAGTTGCATTTCTACCTAACCAACAAAATCCTGACTGTGGTTCTGGGGAGAGCATTCTCTAGATTATCCCCCTTATCTTCTCTAACTTAGAGCAATAGATTACAGATTCTGACAAAGATCATGGTCTACCAGAAGATACAGCAATACCAGGCTTCAAAATAAAGGTCATTTGGTGGTTTCACAGCTGTTATCTGCAAAATGGGAATGATTAATTTACTTTAGGCAGGTAGAGAATAGCAGCACATTCTGGAATTTCCTGCAACATTCTATGCAAGTGAAAATTGGAGTTTGAAGAAGCAAGATAGGAAGAATATTGATACTTTTGAATTTTAGTGTTGGAGAAAGCTCCTGAAAATACCATGGACAGTGAAGAAAACAAACCAAAGATCATTTTAAAAAATTAACCCAGAATTCTCACTAAAAGCACAAACGACCAGGTTCAAATTATCCTACTTTGGACACATTAAGCAAAGATCTAGCCTTTCTAGAGAAGGTTATAATGCTGGGGAAAAAATAAGGAAACAGAAGAATGGAACAATCAGTAGCAAGACTCAGTTACAGTAATGATGAGGGTGCCATCTGGATCTTCCCAAAATGTCTGCTGTTAACAGGCCAGTCTGATCCAACTTCTGGTGTACAAGTTCCAGCTTCAGTCTCCCTTAGTTGTACCCAACCTAGTGCCCCCTAAATGTGCAGGACTACATGTCCCCTAATCTCCAATATGTCCCCCCTGAGGCATAGAAGCCAGCTAAATCTTATTTTAGCATTGCTGATAAGACAATGCCCCTCTCTCTGAAGGTAGCCCTATTGGGTGGGCATCTGGCCCAGAGACCATTAGTGTCTTGCTGGATCTCCCAAATCCCCAACACCAACATCTGCTGTCTGAGCCACTGCTTGTCCCCCTGCCTTAGGAGTGGGGCTAGGATAAGCCGGTTTTGGGGGCAACAGGTCCTACTTTCATTATCGATCTTCAAAAGTCACAAAGGCATGGGCAACATTGTGGCATAATTATTCAAAATAAACATGTTACGTGTATTAAAGTGGAGGGTGTGTTTTAATCATACCCCAAAACAAAACATTTTGCCATCAAATTTCAATAGCATAATCTCAGCAGGCAACCCTTACCACCACCACCAAAACTAAAAGCAAATTAGGCTGGGTTAACCAAAAGCAAGTAGGTGGGTTCTTTAGAGCGTATACAAGAAAACAGTACCTCTTCTGATGTAAACACAGCTAGCTTTGGTATTGCCCAATGCCCCTTCTGCTTGCAGTCTGGGAAACGGTGATGCCGTGCCACATTCATGGCATACATGTTGGAGATGGACCCTCCTACCAAGGAAAACAACCCAGAGAATTGTTCAATGACCCACTCATTACCATTTTAAAATCAAATTTTAAGGTTAGCAGGCATCTCCCGTGCATCCGCTATAGACATAATGAATGGCAGAAATTGGTTTCATTTGGATGATCCTGAATTGATGATCCTCTCCCTCAGAGATTCACCCCCACATTGTTGCTTTTCCAAAAGGCCTTGATGACATAGTTTTGTCAGCAGGCTTGGGGACCCTATTCAAAGCCATTCAAGTACAGTAGCTTGTCTGATTCTGTTTTTGCCACAAGAGGGTGGAAGATAGAGTGGAGGTTAAATTATGAATTTTTAACTGTGAATATTTAATGTTGTATGCCACCCAAAGTCACTATGTGTGAGTTGAGTAGCTACATCAATTTGTTTAATAAATAAATACTATTGGCTGCATGTCAGCTCTAAAATATTTAAAAACAAAAACAAGCCCCTGAAAATTTGCAGGTTCTCGGTTTTACATACCAGGGGAGAAGATTCCATCGCCTTTTTCCCAGCCAATCAACTTTCGCAGTTTCTTCAGCATCACCTCCTCCATCAAGACAAATACAGGTGCAATCTCATACGTGTATCTAAAACACAAGTGATTTTATGAGTCTCATCTGAAAAACAGCCAAAATAGTCAGCAAATTCTCAGAAGGCAACTAAGGTGTTGGTTTAGATTAGGAAATGAAAGTGGCTAGGATACTTTGCCGCTCAGGTCTTTAGTAAAACGACCAAGACTTATTCTGCTCCATCTAATACAGGAGGAGAAGATACTTAGACAAATTTGAAAGTGCAGGATTTTTGTAGTTTTTGTTTTTTTATTTTGATTTGTCTTTTTCTTTACTCTTTTTTTTTCTTGTAGAAGTTTTTATCTTACAGTGATATTGTTAATTGCCTATAGCCTTCAATAGTAGGCAGTTTGCAAATGAAGTAAATCTGTAAATAAATATAAACCTTTGCAGGGATAAAATCAAAGGAAGCAGATCCCCATTCTTTCCCCCTTGTCACCTATCTCTTGCTCCACACAGTCAACACATCTGACTGCCTGGAGCAGGACTAACAATATCTGACCTGCAAAAATTTGGAAGATTGCTACAGGGCAGCAAGGAGACTTTTCAGTATCTCGTAGCTGCCATGACTAGTAGTCATCCAGGTTTCCTCAGCCTTCACCCTGGTAGCTCAAACATTGAGCAACAACAGAACCCACCGCAGATGAGCAGCTTAGGAGGAAGAAAATTGGCCACCATGGAGCTTATGAGAATTCAACTACTGGGAGTAGAGTGCAGATAAATCAACTGCCCAGAAAGGGATCTAGGTTCTTAAACAGAGTCATCCTTCCAATGCATATCTCCTGAGTATCATGATATTTTCATATTAATATTTACTCACTTGCAGAGATAGAATGCAATGATTGCTCAAGATGGAAGAAGTTGCATTCAGGCTCCAATTCACATTCAGCCACTACATTCACTGACTGACTTTGGCTGACACTGACACTGGCCTGATTCACATTAAACCAAGATTGGTTTTAACCATTTTTAAGCAAGCACATCTATATCACCCTAAACTCCAAGAAAAGAAATCACAGTTTGATTTAGCTTTATGTATGAAAAGATTATTTTATTTGCACTTAAATTATCCTATAGAATGATTGTGAGAATAAAAGAAATAGGAAAAACTACCTAAAGCACTTAATTTTGCTGTTTGCCACGAGGGGAGAAATGTTAATATAGTGATATCAAATTACTTCCCCCCTCACTATCCATTTACTAGGGCAATGCTAGCCAGTTGCCACAGAGCAAATGTTTCACAATCAGCGGAATCTATTCTGTTTGTCTCCCTGAATCAGAGACAAAGAAGATTATTTGTATTGTATTATTCTTATATCACAATACATTACAGTGTTGCTCATAGGAATATGATCCTCTGCATATTTTTGCCTCTGCAAGTTTGCATTGTTTCAAAACCTTGACAAACTTATCTGATACTGCAACAGTGGAGGACATTAACAGAATTTGTGGATAGAGTACATCATAAAAAGCAAAGACTTGTCTCAAACTGGTTTCTAGTTATGGTCTCTGGTCCCAAAAAGCAGCAGTGAAATTTATCTATGCCATAGTTGAGTCTTTAAAAAAAAATTCTTTCTTTTTTCTTTTTTTCTTTCTTTCTTTCTCTTTCTTTCTTTCTTTCTTTCTTTCTTTCTTTCATAGCATAACTTTCTAAAAAATGCATATATACATACTGGCTAGTATTGAGCATCTCTGTAATCATCCGTCCAGCCAGAGCATGGGGATCAAGCCCAGAAAACAGCTGATTGCAGAAGCGTGGATGACCTGGAAGTAAAAGAAAGAGACACCTGCTGAGTTCCTTTGGATCTCGGATCAGCCATACAACTCCCATCACTTTTACTGAATAGAATCCTCTTTCATAGGAAAAGACTGCATATCAAGAGGAAAGAAAATTGTGCAAAAGGAAATAGTCTCTATGGAAGTACGTCATATTTTCTTCACCATTACCGGTATTAATGTGATTATTGTTGCAACATGAACTAAAGATTCATTTGTATTACCGGAACTATCCATAATATTCCTTACTGTTTTCCCAGCTTTTTGTTTACATTTCAACCACCTTCCAATAATTGTACAAGATCTATTTTAAATTCATTTGCCCTTACCCTTAAGAAAATAATTATAGTTCAAAAAGAAACAGAATCATAGCATTTAGGTATTTTCCCTTCAACTGGAAAACTTAGTCTCTTGGTACACGTTACATTTCAACCCAAAATTTTCACTCAAGACACAAATTATCAGGTTCAAACTATCCTACTTGGATACATTGTGTGAATACTGTACCTAGCTCTCTAGAGAAGTCTATAATACTGGGAAAGAGAAGAAAACAACCAGAAGCAAGGTGGATGGACTCAATTATAGTAGCAATGGATACATCATTGGAAGATCTGAAGGACTAGATTAGGGACAGATCATCATGGAGAAAATCTATTTATGTTGCTAAGAGTTAGCACTAATTTTATGGCACATAATCAATCACACACTCATTTTTTTTAAAAAAGACCATCCAAAAGTACTGTAAACTGGGGAATCAACTAACTCAGGATGCCAGGATAGGTAAACCAATCTCAATAACTGGACTGGAACAACCCTATCTCCTAAGAAGTTCTGAAGAAGGAACCACACTCTCTTAACTCTTGCCGTGCAGAACACTCACATGTTTTCACACTGTATCTGATAACATCCCGACAGCGTTCCAGCAACCTTTCATGTGGCTCCCCACTGTCTTTTAGATCGAGGTCCAGAATTTGCTGCAGTTCCTCAGGTTCCTTCCAAATGCAGACCTACCAGCAAAATAGTTCAGCTCATGTCTGAAAAGCCATATTGTATACAAGCTGAAAATCTAACAATGCAATCCTATATCCAGGTTATGCTTTCAAGATGACAAGGGGTTGGTATAAAATTCTATATATCAGCATAAGTCCAAATTCTGCTGCCTGTGGATGCTGTTATGTTGTCAGAAATTGAAGTTAAATTTCCCTAGCTCAGGGGTAGGCAACCTTGGCTCTTTTATGACTTGTGGACTTCAACTCCCAGAATTCCTCAGTCAGCATGGCTGGTTCAGGAATTCTGGGTATTGAAGTCCACAAGTCATAAAAGAGCCAAGGTTGTCTACCCCTGCCCTAGCTGAAGCTCTCCCAATGTCTTATGACCATTAATCCCTGACATTTTTAGCCAGCATTCCTGACTGGCCAGGAGTCTGGAACCTACCGTTTCAATGCTTCTTGGAGAGATTGGGTGGGGAAATGTTGTCCTACTATATATTAAATACAATAGTAAACTGGGTGTTTGGAGGAAGATTAGAAAAATTAAGAAAAGAATAGATTATACCCAATTTACTCAATGCAAACCATCCGGGATTAGGAAATTGTGGTTTTTCTGCTGAGGGACTACTTTGTTAGCTTGCAAGTAAAATTCATTTTGGATACCTGGCCCAAGCCATTGCTTGAAGTATATAGAGTGGACATCCAAGCTCAAGAAAACTTAGAATGAAAAACAGTATATCTTACCTTTTCAGAGGCATCCATCCCTTTTTGAATTCCTTCTTCAAGCATGATCTGGAAGGCTTCCTGCAGGAACTTCTCACCAGCTACCCGATCCAAGCCAGGAGATGACAAAGAATCTTCTGCTGCCATTGTCAAGCAGATCTCCTCCTATAACAGGCCAGGCATCAAGAACATGAATTCAAATAAGACCCTGAAGGCAAATCCACTAAAATGTTTCCATACTGGCATGGTATATATCTCCAGAAAAAGAATGTTACAAAATGCAAAACAGTCATTGTAACCAGTATCATATCAATTTCCAACTACTGTCATTCAGTTCTTTAAATTTGACACTGAGTCAATAAAGGTACTTGTTTTTGTTTTCCAGCACCCTTTATAATGTTTATACTAACATAGAGATGTAGCCATCCCTGTTGCATTCATACATTTAATAGAATGTAGGCTCCAACGGTAGTTCATAGCAGCTAACCTTCAATGAACTTTTTACTTTATGGACAATGGCAAAGACACCAATTCATACTGCATAGGAGAAGGCAATAGTAACGCCTATATTTTTATAAAGAAAACCACGTGATTAGAAAATGCAAAATGACTGAGAAGACATAAAAAATCAGGTTAGGGACAAATCATTATGCAGGAAATTTATTTATGTGATCACTAAGAGTTGTCAACGACTTCATAATGATGGCTCATAATCAATTAAGTCAATTTTTGGTACCGAGGTACTCATATGACAACAATGATAAATGGGGCAGTTTCTACATATAAATATGCATTTATGACCAAAGATATATTATAGAGAGAGAGCCATTCCTATTCATGCATATTAATTAGGCTCATAAATTGTGGTAAGCCAGGTTTAAGTTAATCGTGGCTTATTGAATTTAACTCATGGTGATTTATGGGTATGCAGATCTGGATTTGTAGATCAGGCAGAGTCAATCACATATCAGACATTCATGGATGCATTCAGTTACTAATCTATTCCCCCCACCCCCATCTTAAGCCATGTCCATTAGTGAGGAGATATAACATCCCCAGACACTGGATAGCCCTATTCTTGTCAATGGATGTCTTATGTACAATTAACAGAGAGCTTTAAACTGGTTTTAAAAGATCTTATCATTTTGAATAAAGTAAGACCAAGTTTGAAACAGAATTATATACTAATGAGGAAATGTTATTGCTAAAATATATGAACTTTTGCTGAAATACGAGACAAAAGACAAGAGTAAAAAAATGTGTGATAAAATGTATAAACTGTTGGTTTTAATATACAAATGGACCAATGGGAAAAAAACATAGAGGAAAGCATTATGTACATTATTTGCTAGTTTTCTAGAATATGTTTATAAAATATTGTTATATGTCACCAGAGAAATTGTTTAGAATATATAAAGTCCTAGAAGAGATCAACCCCGACTGCTCTTTAGAAGGCCAGATCCTGAAATTGAAACTCAAATACTTTGGCCACCTAATGAGAAGGAAGGACTCACTGGAGAAGGGCCTAATGCTGGGAAAGATTGAGGGCAATAGAAGAAGGGGACGACAGAGAATGAGGTGGCTGGATGGAGTCACTGAAGCAGTAGGCATGAACTTAAATGGACTCTAGAAGATGGTAGAGGACAGGAAGACCTGGAGGAATGTCGTCCATGGGGCCGCGATGGGTCAGATACGACTTCGCAATTAACAACAACAACAACAACAATATAAAGGCACTTCAAATTTGTGGTGGAAATGAGAACATTAATAAGGGATATTTTATCATTCTTGCTGGATGTATAAAAAAAGCAAAAACGGGGAGGTTATATACTGATTCAGAGGATTTTAAAGATTAATATATAATTATAATTGTAATAATTATAATTGAGACCAAGAATTTGCCTCCTGAGACTGGTGGATAAAGACTTGGGGGTGGCAGGGAATCATGGTATTTTGATTCTGTGTGTGATAACTGCATATTGCATCTTACAATCAGTGAAACATTCATTCCAAATCACTTAGGTTCTCAATCTGTAAAACAACGTTATCTGCATTAAAAAAAAACACTAAACTTACTTTCAACCAACAGACATCACCACAAGCATTCATTAAACATTAAGACCCCATAGTTTTGGGGAGAAATAACATTCTTGTAATCAGTAGACACCGATGAAATCTTCACAGATGTCTTAAACAAGCCTAATAATTTTTCCATCAGCAAACCACATCCATATTTTAACATTTTTGTAATTCAATAACTACTTCTGCAGATTTCCAATTTTTCAACTTTGAAAGCCCATCTTTCCAGCCCTGAAAATTTAAAAATGGCAAGACTGAAAAATGTTAGACTGAAGAAGTTCAAAGAAATTTCAAAATTGCTAGTGTGATTAACTATATAACACAACTGCAAACACGCAGCCCATACCACTTCACCTTCTCTTGTTGAATGGAAGTCAGGTGCGCTGCCTCTCTCTTTCTCCGTCCCAGGAAGTTTCCACTGTGAACTACAGATGAATTATTTTAAAAGGCAGAGGGATGAGCTCGCACTTCTTCAGATGGTCACTTCTGCTAACTCTGTTTTCAGCAAAGAAAACTCTGCTAAGCCTGCACCAACACTACTCTGTAGGAGTTTTACTCTCCGCATTAGAGGAAGGAAAGAACACAACGTCCAATTGCTATGGTTACCTGCCCAATCCTGTACAGATTTCCACTGCCTTCAGGGACAAAGTACAAAGGGAGTGACCACATAACCAGCAAGTATCATTATATATTGTGGGAGTAAAAATATTTGCATTCAAAGTCTGCCCTCTGGATCGCATGCTACAAGGTTTTTTTTCGCCCACATAGTTGTTTTAAAAAGGGGTAGGGTGAGGATACCTTGGGATGCCAAAAGGTGCCTTTATATTTATTTCTGCTAAAAAGTGATATCAATTACATTCCAGTGATTCTACATTTCTACTCCTACTAAATATATGGATTTTATGTGTGCATGCACACAGAAGCCTAAAAAGTGATTTGGAGACCTAAATTTGCATACGGGAACTACCATAATTGCAGATATACATAAACGTCTGTGTGCAGATACCTGTCCAAAGAACTCCTTTCTCACCTCCCAGCAATAAAACATTTTCCAGATCTAAATTCCTCTGCTGGTTCTGGAAAATATCTGTGCTATTTTGTGATAATAAACAAAGAGAACTACAAACCTAGGGATTCTGCTCATCTGGTTTGATATATTTGTGATGTGAAATCTGCATCACCTAGCCACCAGCTTATTTGTTGATTTGTTTGCATTAATTCGATTGTTTAAAGTTATTCATTGCTCATAGAGGCAGTCCCCAATGCATCACTGTAATTGACTGCAGTTGTGGTCATGTTGTGATGTTTGGTAAGCAGGTCATCATACCTGATTCTACAACTTTTTTCTGCAGCAGTTGTGAAGCTAACACGGCACTTGTTAACAAACACCATGTTGGTTAAGGGAATGGAGTGGTCATTAAGTAATCTCATTATTCACTATGGGGCATTTTTCAACAGAAACCTGAGGTAAATGCCAGTTTCCAGCAAAAACAGCATAAATTGCGGGCATAGATTGTGGATGCTATAAATGGTTGTAAATGTTGGATGGCTGCCAAAGGCCCAAATTGTGGTCATGTGACCACAGTGGGGGGGCATCAAAATTTTGATTCGAGGTCCATTGTAACTTCAAACTGTTGCTAAGCAATCAGTCCTAATGATAAAGGAGAATATTTATAGCTCAGGGATGAATTCCAGGATTGTTGCATGGAATTTTCAGGCTATCAGAAGGGTTGCAATTCCCCCCCCCTTTAACCTTAACACAAAGGAAGAGTACTCAATAGCAAATCCAACAATTCTTGGTCATGAAAAGGTGTAATTCCTACAGTAGCCGAACTGATCATGAACCCAATCCACACAAATGTTGCTTCTTTGTGGACAAAAGAAACTTTCACATTTTGAGTGGTCAGCTAGACATAACGCAGGATGAGTGAGGATAGGAGGAAAGGGTGGAAGAAGTAAGTTGGATGCTTTCCTTTACTAGTGGTGTGTCAAACCTTTATTTTCCAAGGAAGAAAACCCCAAATGGATGCTTTTTTTTTAATTATTTAGCAACAAGCCAAGTAAAGCTGTATATTTCCACATGCACTTGCTCCATGCAGTTCAAGCCTTATTTCCAGTAACTGCACTCTGCAATACTGTAGATCCTTGTTTTGCCTTGTTTGACCTGTTTGAATGGTTTGATTTGGACAAACCACTGTTAAATATTAGTATGCATATTGTTTTGTCATCTTAACATGTTTTCAACACTGTTGGAAAAAACAAGATAAGTGCACACTGAGATAAGAGTGTCCTCAAATGCATTTTCTTGCACTGCAGAGGGGGAAGGAGGAATGGAGACTGTCCTTCAGGTGCGTCATCTGACACTCAAAGCCTCCCGACTCCTTAGAAAGCCTTCAAACAACTCTTCTATGAAATAAACTGTTCTTTTTCCAAAACCTTTCTACACAACCAGGCACAGCCTGTCCTCAGCTTTATTGACTTCAAAGCTATAAAAGTACTTATTTTTCATGGTTATCGTTACCATCCAACTGGTCAAGCATAATAACTTGATAGCAAATCTTTTCTCTCAGAAGACTTTCTCCATGTCTGACTCAAAATGCTATCTGCCAGCCCTTAAACCTGCAGAATATTAGTGCCTCTGCGAAAAAATAATGTTCCATTGCTGATCTCCATCCCTGTCCACAGGGGCAGTATGGCCAACTGATGATGCCCTTATCTGTAGTTTGGTCTAGTGCAGGGGTAGGCAATCTTGGCTCTTTTATGACTCGTGGACTTCAACTCCCAGAATTCCTGAGTATGCTGACTCAGGAATTCTGGGAATTGAAGTCCACGAGTCATAAAAGAGCCAAGGTTGCCTACCCCTGGTCTATGGTTAAGGCATCAGCGGGAGCAGAAAGCAGATCATGAGTTCAGATCTCACCTTAAGTCATGAAAACCAGCTGGATGATTTCGGACCAGTCATTCTCTCTCAGCCCAACCCACTTCACAGGGTTGTTGTTGTGGGGAAAATCGGAGTATGAGGGAATATTAGGTATATTTGCCACCTTGAATTATTTGTAAAAATAATAAAGGCAGGACACAAACAA